ATGTGTAGGTGAACTATAGTTAATCGGTATGCAAGTATCCCTAGTAAACAATTTTTTATTCTTCATATCAATATTAGCGTAAAGTTGCACCAATAAATCGCTACCGATTAAGCCATCATATCTATCGTCAACGCAATAAATATAAAATTTGTGCCATTCATTACTTCTAAATATTTTAGGTAAAGGTATATACGCTACTTCATTATGTGTACTTATGGCGTGAGTACTTACTACTTTAAATATTTCGTTTCGCTTAAAGTCGCCAAAATATTGATTCGCTAACTTTGGGCTTAAAAACGAACGTTGACTGCCGGTGTCAATCATAAAATTAGCGTTAAGTTCTGGTAAATATATATACGGCAGATTTAATATATTACAATTTAATTTTATTCGCTCTGGTGTGAAGAGGCCCTTATGCAAAAATTTCCTACCTGTTCGTTCTCATTAGAAATACCGAACATTGCATTATTCCCGTTGTCATTATGGTCGGTATAATTGATGCGTCTTGTACTAGCCGTTCTCATGGTCACGTCGGTATTGCAACCTGTGGGCTTACTCTTGAATCCAATTCCGATCGATCGACATTGATATTGTGACGTTTCGTACTCTTGAGATGCAATACTAGCGCCACATTGTATTCGTATTGGGTGGATATTGAATGAACTAAATGGCATCGAGATTGAGTTTAATTCGTACTCTGGACGCTATTTTGACAGCTACGATTGGGTTTGCATTGTGTTGACATTGTGTTATTATTGAGATTTTCCCAATAACAAAAGCGGTACTTTGTTTATATTGTTTTTTAATTATAAGCAAATTTAGCTTTCTTTTTGCAATAGAAATGGCACGTTTAGCTCTACCATTTGTGTTTTTGCAAAATGCGCGAAGAATGCAACTAAAAATACGAAGAAATGAGCGTCGCTTGGCGCGTTATATGGATAAGGCTTTCTCCATGGGTGACGAGGAGTTTGTGGCAAATTATCGCGTCCCCAAAAGCTTATTTAACGAAATTTATGAGGAGTTGCGGCCCTACTTGCCAGTTGCGAAGAGGAGAAGTGATATATCACCTAAATATAAAGTAAGTAGAAAATAATGTATAAAATTCAATATACCTATCTTAAATTATTTGTATTCAATAAAATATTTTCAATTTACAGTTATTGGTAGCACTCTCATTCTTCGCCACTGGCAGCTACCAAAAGCTTGTTGGGAGTACGTTTGGGACACTCATGTCCCAGCAGTCTGTTTCTAAGGCGATTAATGATACAGTAATCGCTTTAAATCAAGAAAACATTTTAAAGAAGTGGGTAAAGTTTCCCCAAACTCGCTCACAGAGGGATCTTATTAAAAGACGGTAAGCTAATCTCCTTTATTAAAGATACTCCGTTAAGATACTTACCAAAATATTTGAACAAATGCTGAGATATTTGTTTATTCAGGTTTTATGAAAAATTTGGGATCCCTGCAGTCTTGGGCTGCATCGATGGCACTCATGTGGCAATAGTGCGGCCATCAGAAAATGAAGAAAGATTTTTTAATAGGAAGCATTTCCATTCAAGAAATGTTATGATTGTAAGTGTTCAGAGACATGACATTTAATAATTTTAATCAAATAAGTGATTCTTATACATAATTATATTTCCTTCTGTATCATAAAAATAATAGTTTAACTTTTTTTTAGATCTGTGATGCCGATTTAAACATTCTGTCTGTGGATGCATCCTTTGGTGGTGCAACTCATGACAGTTTCATATGGAACCAGCACAGTATTAGGAGCCACTTGATCACCCTTAATGATGCTGGGGAAAATGTATATTTTCTAGGTAAATTACTAGAAAATAATTGATTTATTATGAATAGTTGTAAAAGTGTAGTTATTTAATTTCAATTTTTATTTCATTAGGTGATTCTGGATATGCCCAAAGGACATACATGATGACCCCTATTGTGGATGCTGCTGAAGGTTCTCCAGAAGAGCTTTACAACAAAATGCATTGCTCCGCTCGCAATGTAGTGGAGCGTACTATTGGGGTCCTCAAGAATAGGTGGCGATGCTTGTTGGGGCACAGAGTGCTGCACTATCACCCTATAAAAGCATCTAAAATTATTAATAGCTGCTGTGTGTTACACAATATCTGTAACCAATTTAGAAAAAACGATCATTATGATTTTGATATTGAGTTAAGAAATCAAAATGAAAGTTCCTCTGAACCACCAGAAGCCCGTGTGACTGGTCCATCGATTGCTGAACTAAGGAGAGGGATTGAAAAACGAAATTCTTTAGTTCAGCAATTATGGGCAGCTCGTAGATAATAAGTTTTTTTTTTCTTATATAATTTTTTTTTATGTTGATTCAAAGTTACAAAATATAAAATAAAACACATTTGAAATTAATTTTTGTAGTTTTATTTAGAAATTAATGCAAAATTAAAAGTCTTTAAAATAAAATTTTAGGATGGCTCCTAATGTCAGTCTTTTTTAAATCTCTCATTTTGACAATAACAATTATACATAATAATTTCTATCACACATTATACATAGTGAAAATAATATGTAAAATTACTTTGCTTATCTTAGATCATAAATTAAATAACATAATGTCGATATAATCACAAATAAATCGAGTCTTTTTTTTTAAATCTCTTATCTGATAATAACAATTATACATCACTAATAATTTCTATCACACATACATTGTGAAAATAATATGTAAAATTACTTTGCTTACCTTAGTTTATAAATTAAATAACAAAATATCGATATAATCACAACTAAATCAGTCTTATTTACAATATTAAAACACCATACACATAGGTAAGTACATACATTCATACGTAACCTCACGTCTGTCTCCCATGGAGATAGGCAGAGACTTTGAAACACACATTACTACCATTTTAACATATCTCAAACATTTAAAAAATAAAACAATAATTGCAAAATCAAGTAATCTAGGAAGGACTCAAACTATTGACGTTTATTAGGTCCTTCCTAAATTATTTGCTATCTGTTGTAGAGCATTGGCCACCCCCGTTATGGCAATAGCTATTTGCTCGGCAGCATCTGCGAGCCTCTCTAGTCTTCGGCTCGTGTCGGATAAGGCCTCTGCACTCAACCTCTCAGCCTCAACGCGTCGTTCCTCAATCCTTGCCATACGGTCCATCTCGGTATCAATTGTCCTAGAGAGAAAACGACGTGACCGACGACGAGAGGTGTTTGTATTGGTACCTTAAAAAGATACAAATTCATATTTTACTTCCAAGGAACATATTGAACTATACACATAACATAGCAAACTAAACTAACAAGGGTTTGGTTTTTGAACCATTTTAAAGGTCATTTTGTGACTTGTGTGATAAAGAAGTGTTGGTTAATGGTATGTCTAATAATTATATTGAGCATTAACAGTAAGAAATTTGGTAAACTATTTGGTGGACTTTATGAAATATTAATTTTATTTAATGGCAGGTAAAAATTTACTTACTAGTTTGAGGTGGTACTGCGTCAGGAGCAGCAGGCGTTTCAGCCCTTGAGGTTCCTGAAGTAGCTAAATTTGGCGCAGGAACAGAGATGATTTCAACATCCATTTCGCTAAATTCTAATATTGTAGAAGTCGACTCAGATTCTACAACAGAAGAATGCTGTAAAATATAAAAATTTGATTTATTATTTGATCAAAGATTAATTAAGACTCGATTAATAAAGAAAACTCGGGGTCTCGGGTTCAATTCCCGGGTCGGGTAAAGAATCATACATCACTAATAATCTTATTTAAAAAAAATCTTAGTAGTAGCACGGAGTCTGGAATTGTGCCCGGTATATAGCAATAGGCTCACCCCCTATTACATAGGACTCATAACATAAATAGTGAAAAGTGGGTTTACATTGTACATTGGCATTAAGTGCCGGAATGTGCATCTCCACCTAGCCCTTCAGGGGTAAAAGGCGTGATGTTATGTTATTAATTAAGAGACCCTTTGCTCGGCAGTCACACTTGCGATCACTCGGCTAACGAGGCAGTCATTAATTTGAATAAATATTACCATTTGTGGGAATGGATTTACAGCTAGCTCGCTGTCACCAGACGCAAAACTTGTGCCTCCCATCACTGCTACAAGCCGTTTGTCTAACTGGGACAACGAGCATCTTTCACCTTCTCCTCCACCAGTCCGCCGGATAGAAGCTGCATGTTGGGAACACAGCTTCTTCAGGCTGCATTTTTTTTCAGCCCAGTACTATAAGTAAAATTAAGTATGTATGTACTAGTTAATTATATGAATAATTGTGTAACATTTGAATTTATTCATAATTATGTTGCTAAAAATAAAAATACATTACCTTTGACCATCCGGGTCCATCCTTGATGACGCCGCCTAGAGCGTTCAAAGTAACAGCTATTTCTGCCCATTTTTGTTTCGATTCTTGTTTCCCTTGCGAAGTTCTTAAAAAACCCCTCGCGATTCCGGGATTTTGTTCAAGAAACTCCACAAGGGCTTCTAATTGTAACATTGAAGGGCGATTGGACATTTTTACCTAAAAAAATATAAACATTGTGAGACAATTCGACAGTACGAATTTCCGGATAACTTCAAATATAATAATTAATACTTTATAAGACTTGCCTTGAGTTTTTTAATCTTTGCAGCACACTTTTAAGTTATAATTAAAGAAAAATAAAAGTTCGCAATAATATTTCAAAAATTTTCAAACCAAACGCAAACTGTCAAAATATGTCAACAAAGCCTTGTCAACAACGTCATTTCAAGCAAATGGATCAGCTCAAACAGCCTATAATTCATATATTTTGTTTAAATAATATTAATTTTATTGAAAAGCATTAATGAATATGCGAATCAAACAATGTAAATTTTTTTTTCAATGCACTTTTCAAATAAAACATAAAAATTGGTTAAAAACTGTAGTTTTTTATTCTACATTGAGTTTATCGATACAGCGGCAAACGCATAGGTCCTCACTATTGTGCAGCTAACTTCACTCCTATCTTTCCAATACGAACGCAATCCCAATATCAATGCGATCTCAATTCCAAGCTGGTCAAGAGTACGCACTTATTATTGTATTGTTATTGGATTGGTTTGAAATTGACATTGAGTTTAGTTTCAAGAGTAAGCCTACTGAACCTGAGCCATGCGGCGACAGCGGCGCGGGCTGCGCTTGTTGCGAACCAGGTTGCGCGTTGTCAGCAATTTGTCGGCCTGGGAACTGTGGCCGGCCTTGTTGCGACGTATTGTGATTATTGTTAAAGTAATTATTTTGATGAAAGCGATTATTATTATCTCTGTTATTTCTAGGCAAAAATGAATTATTTGTAAAGTTATTATTCCGAATGTTACTTCTATTATTCGTCTGTACAATGTTACGATTTGGAGTAAAATTGTTGTTAGATCGCATATTCGGTGCACTAGTGCTTGTACTCGGCGATGCTTGCGAATTAAAATTATGATTCGAATTATTTCGGCCTTGAAAGTTTGTATTAAATGACGGATGCCGCGATTGTTTCTGGTCGTAAACTTCTTGGAAATATTGTTCTTCCAAGACAGCTTTCAAAGCATCTTCCAGGGTCGAAACATTTTTTAATCGCACCAACCTAACTAAAAATTTCGGTAAATTAAACAAGAAAACATTCAAAGAAAGGTTTGTGTAAATACTTTGTTTCGATAACCTTGTAGCCGCATCTTCGTCTGATTCATTAATTTTCGCGATTAATATGCTACGTATTTGTTGAATACGGTGACAAAAATCTAAATAACTTTCGCCTCTATTTATTTTTAGACTTTCTAACTCTAATACTAGACAATCTTCTGTTCTTGGATCCCCAAAATGATCCTGTAAAACCTGTTTTAATTCTGCCCAAGAGTGAATTGTATCTCGTTCACCTATTAAATTAGCTGCTTCCCCGCTTAGCCTACTGGTTATCGCGTTGAACAGGTATTCATTCTGTATTTCATTGCCGCGATATAAATTAATGATATATTCAGTTTTGCGGATAAATAAAGACAATAGCCTTGTCTCGCCACTAAATATAGGAATGATTTTTAATACTCCAGGGGGTATAACTACGATTCCTTCCATTTTTATGTAGTACCTACTAAAATATCTTTAACTCGTAATAAAATTATATCTAACTATTACTAAACGTGAAAATTTTATCACTGTAATGTGCTACGTGCCAGAAGGGCTTTTTCTAATCCCTATATGATACACGAGACACACACAATTATCACGGAGGAAATTCAAAGGAAAGTAGACAGGATAGTGAAAAGATCTACTCACATGACCCGCTGCTTTGCCGCTCTCCCGTGGTTGATGATTCTGCTCAGCCTGCTCTGCGCCGTGGTTTCCCTTGACGAATTTGTTTGGTTCGCTGACCCGTTGAATCGTTGATACGAACGTTGGAGTGTTCTCGGTGCCCGAAAATTTTATTCGCGGTGGCACAGAGGACCCAAACGATAAGGTCACTTACCGGCTGCGCCAGTCAAGGAACGGAAACTCGGATTTATAATAAAAATAAAATTTATTTAATAAAATCGAGTTACAATGTTTGTTGAGCGAAGTCTGAGAACAGAATGAATTCTAATGGAAATTACAAATAATTATTGGTACAATAAGGGTGTCATATTACTTATTGCGAAAGAGGTAAACGAATGGGTAAGCACAAAATGTTCCAAGAGATTCTACACGTGTTTTATATAATGCTGACTTATATACCTACTAATTATGTTGCTAAGCTGAATTAGTGCTGACAAAGCATATATCTATAGGGTGGGCACCCTTAACTCACGCCTACCTTATGGTTGCTCATAGGTGGCCTGCCTACCTATCATCGGCCACATCATCGCTTACCACCAGGCGTGATGGTGGCCAAACGTCGAACTATCAAGTTTAAAAAACATAACATAACATCACGCCTTTTATCCCGAAGGGGTAGACAGAGGTGCATATTATACCGCTGTACAATGTAACACGCGCTTTTCACTATTTGTTATGAGTCCCATGTAATAGGTGGTGAGTCTATTGTCATAATAATATACCGGGCACAATTCCAGACTCCGTGCTACTACTGAGAATTTTCTAAAGACCCAGTAATACTTTACCTGACCCGGGAATCAAACTCGAGACCCGAGACCCGACTGCCCGGCAGTCGCACTTGCGACCATTCGGCCCGCCGGCCGACTGCTACACCTAGCAGTCGGCAGGCGGGAGAAGGAAATCAATAATAATCCCCCCTTAAATAATGGTGTCTCACCATCAGGTGATCCGTCCGTCCAATTATCGCAATATTCCATAAAACAGATTTTCTTTTTAAGTGAAATAGGACCAACCACATAATAACAAGAACGTGGCGATTACATCACTCTATCCATATATTTTTTTCCTTTCTTATTTATTAACAGGGCGTTTTCTTAACGTCTTAATCCCCGATTATGAAATATCCACAACTTTCGTTCATACAAAAGTAGTCTCTAATTATCGGAAATAAGGCCTATGATTAAATAAGTGGAGAGCGGTCACCGAAGACCACTTGCGGACTGGGCAGTAAGAACCGTAAAACGGGGTGAATAGAATTCGAGGGGTGAATAGATACAGGAAGGGGGTGAATAAATATTAGAACATTTTCTCAATAAATTCTATTTACCCCGTTTTACCTAAAATTGTGACTAACGTGCATTTTGTAGGTAAAATACCTTCGTATGTGATAAGGATATTTTTTATAATCTTTGACTGCACGGTTGGCGCGATGCCTGGGCAAATGGCTGCCGAGCAACATCTAGCAGGTTCGATCCCGCATGGAGCAACTCCTTTTGTTTCCAGAAATTGCTGTTTGCAGTCTGTGTGTCATGTGTATGTCAAGTTGTATGTACATAATATGTAAACGCACGCACGACACAGAAACTAGAGGTAAAACCCTAATGTGGGGCAGTCTTTGAAAGAAATAGATCGATGATCGGCCACCACCTAACATGATGGTAACCGATGATGCGGTCAAAAGAAGAGCACGCCTGCTAGTCCTACCATTTAAGCTAATTAACTCGTCGAGTACCGGTTTTGTAGACACAATTATAGAACAATAGGTTGCGGTCACCGGTGACCGCTTGGTGTTTGACAGTTTAAGGAATTAAAAAAATAAGCTTATTTCAACTACTTACCTCATTGTAAGTTTAATTGTAACCTTTGTGCCTACTTTATCTGTACCCAACCAATATTAAGGAGGTACGTTTCATAATGAAAAAATGCATTACCATTAGAGATGTGCCAATTATGACTTTCGCCGACTAGCCGACTAGCCGATTAGTCGGTAGTAATAAGACAATTTAGTCGGCCGACTAGTTGGCCGACTAGTCGACTAAGCCGATTACGGTTGCGGGAATTTCCGTAGCGCTTCGTTTGCGGCTGATTCGCGCATTTAGCGCGCAATCTCATACGCCGCCTGCGAGCGTGTCGGAACATGTTTTGTTTACTTCGCATTGTTCCTGTATTTTTGTTTTTGCTATTATATTTATTGATTATGAAATAAAAAAATATAATATAATATTATATAATCAAGGTTTTTATTTATTATGTAGTTCCCCGCATGCATATTATTGAGAAATACATACAACGTAAGAAGCCGGATAGTCGGCGCTCTTTGCCGATTAGTCGCCGACTAATCGACGACTACAATAGTGGCCGGATAATCGGCTTTGCCGACTAGTCGGAACATCTTTAATTACCATATCACACACTACCTCTTGAAGCCGCGTATAGGCTAAAATAGAACATACAATACAACACCGCATTCTGAATACAAACATAAAAAGAATTATCACAATCCGTCCACTAAACACCGGAGAAATCGGGTAACATACACAAAAAAAACATACAGCCGAATTGATAACCTCCTCCTTTTTGGGAGGTCGGTTAGTAACATGAGTTTAATTAAAAACGAATGCAACATTGAAAACATTATTTGCGTTATAAACAAAATATTGTGCCTACGCCCGGTGTTTATGCCTAGTTCACTATACATAGCTATAACGGGATTCCAATATGTACATTTAAAAATACATAGTAAATCGTCCTGTCCTATCCAAACCATACGAGAATATAATTTCCATATTCTCGTATCAAACCAACAATAATAATTTTATGACGAACTTCCTTTACTTGCGCTGAATGATTCACAAACTTTATTAATATAAGGTCTAAAAATTGTACTTACATTTTGTAGTTTCTCGCAGTTAAAATACTTTTGCACACTGTAACAGCACAACTCGAAATGAGTGTGAAACGCAGGATATATAATAAGTACAAAGTTATCGAAAGTTCCAGATATCCCCGACCATAGAGTATAATGAAATACTCTATGTTTCGCTATGGCAGTACATGTTTTGTTATAAAGTTGGATACCTACACAGCATATCGTGGGTTGCGCTTTTTTATATGAGCATTATTTGTATTTTATTTATACGTAAGAATATATTATGCATGATAAAACTTAGGTACATCTTTATCCTATGAGAGTAGGCAGACAATACAGAGTGCCTACTACGATCCTTCCTACGACTACAGCAACTACGGCTTTTTTTCAGTGTAAAGTTCTGAGTTATTTCAAAATTATATTTTATTAAATCGCCCTTATTAAAGTGTATAATCATTTAAAACCATTTTTTCAGAGTTATATTGAGCAACAATCAAAACACAGAATTGCGATTGGTTGCTGGTTTGTTTTTGTAAGGGGAGGTTTATAAGTTTTGGGAACACAGAAGAACTTTAAAAAAAAATTTATCACGGTGACAGCTGGAACTAACATTGACTTGGACCGAATCACCCACTCCCACTTCAGACCATATCCCATGAAGGGACAGTCATCCGAACATAGTACCTCTTTCTAAATTCCACGTTGCCACAGGTTGACAGGTACGATAATACTCTAAGGGTCGCGGAGAACCCAACGGATAACCGGGGCTCCGGCTCGACGTGCAAGAGAAGGAACGGGGTGGTTTTTAGTCAGTAAGAGTCTGACACTCCCTCCCGCCTCACCCAGGCGGAGCAGGAGCAGTCATTCGATGATTTTCCCCGCTTTAAAAAAAAGGGTACGATACTAGCGCCCTCAACTACTACAAACTCTTTTTTCTAAGCTGTACTTATACAATATTTACGATGATATAATCGGTTTTGCAAAATGAGAGTGTAATATAATAGAGGTACAGTAGAATCCGGTTATAACGACGGCGAAGGGACCGGTGATATTAGGTCGTACTAACCGGAAGTCGTACTAAAGGAAGTGACCAAAAGAAACAAAAAAAAAACATTTGAATCAAAATATGTATTTTTTTACATATGTATGTATTTCACATAATGTATTATTGTAATGAAAATAAAAGTAACATTAATTCAAAAATGTACTTCAATGTCTAAGGTAGGATAGCAAAATAACCGTGCGCGTACATGATGTACATCTCTAATATAATCTACATAACAAATGACAAAATATCTAGTGCAAAAAGTCTGTAATTTTTGATTGTTTTTGGCTTTTATTTCTATAGTAAGAAGTACGGATTCGGTTATGCAAACAAGACATCATTTTTTTCATATTGTCATCTTCAAAATTAGAATGCACAAACACATTCAGCACTTCTGCAGCTTTTAGAGCTTCAGATAAAGTCGGAGTGGTACAATTTTCTTCCAGGCCGTCGTCGTCATTATCGTCGCTATCTTGACCGTTGTCGATAACACTTTGTAGAATATTTTCGTCAGTCGGCTCCTCACAAGTTGCGAGATCATCATCAATAGCAGAATATTGTTCAAGTTCTTCATTTCCCATGGGAAGTCCTTTATCCAACGCTCTCGCCCAGATAGACAGCGGCAAATCATCATCGTCATCGCTGGCGGAAACAACACTGAGACTGTCTTGGACAAATCCAGCGTGTCTATAACAGTTGAAAATCGTCGCTGATGTAAGCTTATTCCATGCGTCGTAAATCATTAGAATAGCATCCAGTATTGTGATCTTCGGATGTTTGGCACTGCTGGTGTTTTCATTTGCATCAAGATTAGCGATAATTTTTAGAACCAGGTTTTTACGAAAGTTTGATTTTAACACTCGAATTATTCCTTGGTCCATAGGTTGTAATACAGATGTTGTGTTCGGTGGCAGAAAAAATAGAGTTATGCTTCTCAAATCGCTGATCTGGGGATGAGCTGGACAATTGTCAACTAGAAGCAGGATCTTTTTATTCTTTTTAGTCAGTTCACGATCCCAGTCGCGTACCCATTTGATAAAAATATCAGATGTCATCCAGGCTTTGTGATTGCTTTCATAATCTACCGGGAGAGATCGTACATTTTTGAAACATCGTGGGTTCTTTGACTTGCCAATAATTAACAACTTCTTTTTTATCGTGCCACTCATGTTAGCTGCAACCATCACAGTTATTCTGTCTTTCGAAAGTTTTCCTCCTGAGCATTTTTCGCCTCTAAATTTTAATGTTTTATCTGGCGTTAATTTAAAGAATAATCCTGTTTCATCTGCGTTAAATATTTCATCGTCACTAAATTTTTTCCGCAAATTAGGCCAAACTTTGCTTAGCCACTCTGTTACATCGCTCTGTTCAACCGACAAAGACTCACCAGCAATTTTTCCGGCAACAATATTGTGTCTCTTCTTGAAACGGTTAATCCAACTCGCCGAACAATCAAAATTCAGAATCTTTAGCTCTTTAGCGAAAAAAGTAGCTTTTTGTTGAAGCATAGGCCCATTTACGGGTATTCCACGATTACGCTGCAGCTTAAACCATTGTAAAAGTGCCGAGTCCACTTGTTCTTGAGACGATAACCTCACACGTTTAGGTTTTAAAACATTCGCATTGAACAAAGGTTCTATTTTGTGTTTATTTTTCTTAATTGTTGATATTGTCGAATGATTTACACCGAATTCCTTCGCAATCGTTGCATTCGACTCGCCAGCTTCTAAACGTTGTATTATAACACTTTTTTCTTCAACAGAGAAACTTTTTCGTTTTATAGAAGCCATTTTTGTACGCCAAACTACGCATCACCCGCTAATTAACGCTGAGAACTAAACGGTCACACACGAATCACTGACGTGCAAGCAAGGGGGGGTGTCAAGCGGAGATAGTTTCATACCTACGATTTATTTGTAAACACGTCAACGCTCATCGTCGTTGTAACCGGATAATTTTATGTGATATACCGTCGTTAAAAGCGGTCGGTCGCTGTAAGCGGAGTCGTAATAAACGGATGTACTTTCAAAAGGCTCATATGAAAACCAAACAATCGTCTACACTCACGTCGCTAAAAACGGTTGGTTGTTATATGCGAAGTCGTACTAAACGGACTACACTGTATATGACACATATGTAAGTAAGTTAGCGACAGAAGTTGTCATTCATCAAGCGTAGTCCACCAGATTTTTTGATACGATGGTAAACGAGCATACGGATCATCTGATGGTAACAAATCAGCGCTGCCCATGGACACCTGGAACACCAGAGGCGCTACTGTGTGTAATCAACGTTTTGGGGATTAGGAATTAAAAAATGTTGGGGATTCAAGGATAGGGTAGATTGGGGAAGGGGAGGCGTATAATTCGACCTCCGAACTCCGGTAACCTCACTCACACGACGAAACACAACGCTAGCGTTGTTTCACGACGGTTTTCTGTGAGGCCATGACATCACTCCGGTCGAGCTGACCCATTCGTGCCGCATGGCTATCCCATACTTGAGTTAAAGAATACACCCACTTTGGTGTAAAGGTCTTCTCTTAAATCCTCTGATTACTACCTATCTATGCTTAAGTACAGTTCAAATATAATAATTGTGTAAACAACAAACGCACAATATGTGGCCATATTAGTATTGTGACAACTTTTAATTTTAGAGACTGTGCCTTAATAACTGACCTTGAAAACGTACCACAGCCTTGTCTATTGCTTCAAACCCCGGGGCTTGAAAACAATAGAGATTTCCTTTTCAAAAAAATATTTTGTTCACCCAGCTAATGATGTTGCCAGTAAATAATGAATAACAACAAACTAATAAATGTAACATATATTATAATTATACTTACGTGAAAGTTCTACTAGTATACTTTTATAGCAATATTTCAGGGTAGATGTGCCTTTTATTCTAAATTAAAAGTCAGTCCAATCACTTTCCATAAAGTCGATCACGTCTAATAACTAGTAAGTATGCTAAGGTAATTTATAGCATGACTACAATCAAATTAGTAGTATTTAATTATATTATGTTAATTATTATGTATATAAAGCTATACATTACACAAGTGCACAAGTTTAACTATTATTATAGAAAACAAGAACGTTGTGGCTAAAAATAATTAGTCGTGCAATAGACAAAAACTATTGTCTATGGTGAAACACCAAAGACACAAATATTTTCCTAGAGAGACAAAAGTTAGATAATAAGAATAAATTAATTGAGATTTATTAACAACACTTGGAATGAAAATATATACAACTTAAAATATAAATAACTATGAACTAAAATATTTACACCTAAAAAAAAAAGGTAATAATAAATAAATAAGCTATAATAAGGCATCAAAAAAAAAATTTTCCTCATCATTATCGTGAGGTAGGGTGCCCAAAAGACTGGCAGCATTACCACGTTGAATGGCAATGCTTAACCTTTGTCCAAGGTAGAAGCCAGCCCTTCGATCACCTGAAGTGTCAACCATCCTCTTTACAATATCTTTGTAAAGAAGATGTGCACTTGGGCCCCACGGCCCTAAAGTTTCAACCCCAAACGGTTCGAAAGCATAATTGCCAATCAGGCTATCATACTTTCGCCGTTTGAGGTTCTCGGCAGCAGCAGCGGCAGCACCGGCTCGACACGCTGAGTTTGGAAGATGGGATGGCGCCAGAGTATCAACGCAAGTGGCGTCCCATACTAAAGGCCTACCCATCTTCCAAGGGAATAATGACATACCGTCGGGTCTCTTGCCATCGTTGCGTACCAAGCCATTAGGTTCTAAAGTAGCTGGCACGCCAACGGAGACAAGAGCTCGACGAATTATGTCATTAATACTCGCGTGTCGAGCAAAACGACCCGCACTACGGCTACACGACAAGCCGTGGTGTCCAAGGCTGTTGACATCTTCACCACAACGACAACGATGAGGTGAACAAAATGAAGCCCCAAGCCTTAAACAAATTGCAGCGCGGAATGTGGTGTCGTCCAACAAAGTACCTAAGTTGGACGAAGGCAAAGCAAGAAGCCATAACCCTGACTCCCACTCACCCACAGCCAAAAGGCGAGCTCGCTCTGCAGTTGAACAAGCGGAGTTCAATAGATTTTCGCTCACTTTCCTGCAGAGCGGCTCGTCCCATTGTCTCTGGGAGAGTGATTTGACGGGGGGGTCAATATTTGGGCAAGCGATTTTCCAAGCTTTCACAGCTTCCACTAAAAATGGTACATCAAAATTAACCAGTGATTGAGAAAGAATTTTCCTGGTTAATTCTTCAGTACCATGGGCGGAAGATATGAAAGCTGGTAGGCTTACACTGGAAATTTTACGGACGCCAAGCCCACCCATGCGGACAGGCAGAGTAGCTTGTGTCCAGGCTCGGTCGTCGAGAGCCACATTCAAAATTAAGGATAAAGTTTGTCTAATGCTTCGGTCAATTTTTTCTAAAAGAAGGGGTGCAGACCAGAGGTGGGTCGAGCGCAAAAAATACATAAATTTGGGACCAAAACAACAAAAACGAATAATAGTATAGGCCGAATGCATTCTAATGTGATACAGTCTTTCTGAAACGACAGAAAAATTTTGAATTTTTTCATCAATAAAACTTTGAAAAGAGTCCTCGAAGACGGGCGCACCTAGGAGGCGAAGCGAACATTTATCGACAACCGAGATATTAGGCGCAAAAGTAGTAAATTTTGATATGATCTGTCTGTCGGTAGAGTCATGTAAAAATATCTCACACTTGGAATAATTTAGGTCAAGGCCAATAGCATGAAGTTCGTTTTTTAAAAATTGGAAATCATTTAAAACTGTATCTGCATCGCCTCCCAGGGTACCGTCATCGAGGTACCACACATTAAATTTAGAATTTAGCTGTCGTATAATAGGATTAATGGCCAGGCTAAAAATCACTGGCCCAAGGGGATCGCCTTGTTGACAGCCAACGGCTGATTCCAAAAGGTTGTCCTGATATAATAATTTTGTAGGGTGTCTATAACATTGCCAGAGAAAACTAAAAATTTGGGGTACTTCCTTTTTAACTTCTGTCAACAGAGTATCCCTATTGACCGAATTAAAAGCATTCTTAATGTCAACCTTCAGGATGATATCACCTTTCCTGGAATTCAGGTAGGTCGACAACGCATGCACGGCAGCCTCGCAGCCCCCTCTAGATCCATACCCGAGTTGAAGGGGCTGGAATTTTTCCGAAAGAAGATTATTATAAAATTTGCAACAAATCTTGGCTGCCATGCGACGATAAGTTGTTCCCACGGCAATGGGACGAATACCGCCATCCTTCTTGCGTAGGGCACATAGATTGGCCCCGTACAAAACGTCGATGACGGATTCGTGCACATTGCCGGAGAGCATAAGATTGATCAAAACCGTAAGCTCCTTCAGCAGCGTCACGCCGGACTCCCCGGCGCTTGAGCTCGTCAGATCTTTGAGATGCTGCGGCGTCAAACCGTCGAGGCCTCCGGCAGAACCGCTCCGGAAGGAGCCTATGGCAGTGACCACTTGTCGACCTGTAACAGATAGGGTATGAATATCTGCTTCTGGAGGATCCGGAAAAGAGAGACCATCTACTGGGGCCGGGTGTTTGCTCTCCAGAGCTTTAAGTGTATCTGGAGAACATGGAGCCAGTACGTCATTGCTAAAAATAATTCTGGCTGCGCCGCTAATATCACCTTCACCTATTTTGGTCTCAACTAAATCAGCTAAAGTTTTGGTTGAGGCATAACTGCAAGCCGGTAATTTTGGGTCGAATTGGGAAGCCGAAATGCAATTTTCTTTGATTTGTTTTGTTAAGGAATTTTGAAAAGCCAAATTCTTTTTAACATGTAAGATTTGGTAAGGGAAGGTGAGGAGTTGTTCCCAGGCGCGTAACGAGTTCTCCTGTGCTGCCAGACGGACACAATTTGCTAACTGTTGCGCAACTAAAGGTCTGGCACCACGGGGAACTCGTTTAAGTACAGGGATAGATTTTTTAAATTTTGATAATCTTTTCCAAAAGGGATCTGTCGAAATAAGAGGAGTAGTATCGGTAACGGGGCTGAATGTACTTTGAGATTTGTGAACACGTCCAATGTGTACATTCAGCCCTCGCTTACCTTTAAAATAGCGAGCCTGGGAACATAGCTGGCATCTTTCCAAAGAAAGCTGCGACGCCGAAGGGTGACTACCGAATACACCACAGTCCGCACTCGCTGTTGTGCTTGACATACACCAAAAAGATAAAGAAAATTCACTTAATATACTAAATAAGAAAAAACTTACAGATAATTAAATATAAAAGTAAAGAAATAAAATAATATAATAAAAAAGTCGACCGCTGGTCACACCCCGGCGACGTAGGGCGCCGCGCCACGCCGCCGTTGCGCCGCGCCGCGCCTCCACGCCGCCCATGTCCGTAAAAAGCTAATACACGCAGTGGTAGCTGTACTTATTGATCAAAATCCAAAACCAATAGATACTTAGTTGAAGTTGTGCTGCAAGAAATTGGGGCCACCAGTGCCTAACTCACTGCACTTTCTATTTTAAGACGACACAAAGGTAAGTTCAAAGTATGCAACAGACAGGGCACTTGTATTTCGCCTTTAAATATATTTTTATAATCACTATCACGACCCGATGTATATAATACACTTTTCATGTACAAGTTTATCAAAAGTTAAAGTAAAAGTTAAAGTTAAAGTTAAAGTTTAAAGTTAGATAATTGTCTATGGAAAGACAATCTCTATTATTTGACGTTTCCTCTTGACTGTCATGGCTGACACGCCGTCAAAGTCAGTGCTTAAGTCAATTTGTATTTTTTGTTGGTCAAACTCAAAGCAAGTTGTGCTTGTGTTGAATGAGGACAAGTGTTTGGTTCGTTGAATGATGTGCAGTGCCTTGTTGCTTGAACATAATGCAACTTTTTATCTAAGTAATATGTTCATTTTCTAGCTTCGAAAGTTAGTTTTAAATGACTATGTCACAAATAACTTTTAGTGTGAAAATGTTAAGTGATAATGTTTGTGTTCTGTGCGTGGTGCATTTGTTAATATTATTAGCACTGACAAAGGCCACTACTGAAGCTCAAGAACTAAGTAAGTCTTAAGTTTATTTTCTAATTACTGGCCTGTCTTATTACAATGTTTGAAAAAGTTTTAATTTATAAAACTTTTTTCCAATATTGATGAAACACTGCAAGTCTGAATGTTTGTTGTGTTCAAAATCGGAACTTTAAAGGTAGTCGTCGAGTTAGTTAAACTAGTTTGAGCAACTTGAGTACCAAATATACTGATATTTTAATTATGTGTTTATACTACATTTAACAATTACTATCTATAAAAACATAAACTTAATATAAAAATATTAAACATATAAAATGATAAACATATAAAATTGTGCAATGCTTATTTTATTATAATAATGTAACTACTCAATTATTTTCCTTCTATCATATTGCTATTAATCATCTGATGCAGGTATAAAATAAATATAATGTATCATCTCTAAGGAACATCCTGCCATTACCTACCTAAAAAACAGCAGCGTTGTTGAGAGGTTTATATACAGTAAAAAAAATGTAATACTTCTCACATTTACACTAGTAATAACTAACATGAATTTTTATTAAATGAAATATCACCTAAACTAATTTACTTTAGTACATCCAAACAACTTACATTAAATTCGAATGAATAGAGATTGCCCTCTGTTTTTCGGTTTGCAGGGAATCAGGAGACAAGTTAAGTTGGTTAAAATTATTGTTCGAATAATATTAATACTATAATACCATTCATAAATATGATACTCTAGAAATCATTTGTTTGCCCACATCATTTTTATGATAAAAGTTGTTTTCAAACAATTGTTGACCGAAGTTGAATGTTGCATTGGCGTTGATCTTTTACATTATGAGTTTTGCGTTTATGTAAATAAAAGAATTCATTATTATCAACAAAAACTTGGATCACACAAACAATAAATTAGAACCAAACTTAAACTTTATGACATAAAAAGATTGGACTAAAAACAGAAAATAAAATGTTAGCCATTAGTTTTCTGAACTATAAGTATGTCTCTGCTTATCCCTTTGTGGAATAAGCACCTAATCTTATGTAATGTAGTACAGTTTTCAGTAAAAGTGGTATCGAAGTTCCATCACCCAACTGTGTGATTATAAAATTTAATGTGGATGTGATAAAGAGTAAGGAATGGAGTTTCTTGCTCGTTCTTCTCCATTCGAATCTACATTTTGGAATGAGCACCTAGCTTCACCTAGCTTCATTGACGGACTGACTGACAGACTTATTTATTTTTGTTGATGTTTCAAAAGTAAGTACCAAATTATGGTTTAATTGAAATAAATGCTTTGTCTTTGACTTTGATAAAATTGTGTGTAGCGTCAACGCTACACACAATTTACAAAATAGCTAGTATCTGCATAGTATTCCCTATAATGACATTACTGGCTAATTTAAATATGCACCTATAATAAACAGGACTATTGAATTAAATTATGGTTGTGGATTAATTAACTATCAATAATTAAGTATGTTGTTATTTATACAGTACCTAATCCAAATTAACTAAATATAGCGGGTTACTCACGTGAGTACCCCGCGATTTTTAGTTAATTTAGTATGTCTCAATAGTTATTGTAAAAACAGTACCTACTTATTCCAATCAATAAATTGACACTGTGAGATATTTTCGAATACACGGGATTTACGGCGCAATCCAGGAACCCACTTAGATATTGGATAAAAGCCCTTTTAGTTTCAGTTTATTTAGTTCATACAAAATTCTCATTTATTTATACTATTTAAGTGAGAGATAAAGGAAGTATGAACATGGGAAGTTCCCTAGTTATCAGCCCGTAAATTAACCGGACAGCATATTTTTTCCGTCACAAAGTTTAATGACCTTACGAACCCTTAAAAGTGTGTGTGCTAAACTCATAAATAATTTGTTCCCGACTTGGTAATCGTTTGCATACTCCCATTGTAAGGGGAAGTTCATATCTGACCATCTGACGTTCGCCATAAGGGTGTTGAGCATTGGATCTTATAAGTGCACTGTCGATGCGGCTGTCGGAAATGTATGTAATTTTATTATAATTGCGCCATTTCAAATGAGGTCTGCAACTGCAACCGTGCAGTGCGTGTGTTAAAAGTAAGAAATGTTTTTAGTTTTTTAATTAAGTAGGTACATAGTTTTTTTAACTCGTATATTTGAAAGCCTGAATAGTATAGGCATAGGTGACCGTTTCATATTTATCTTCAAGATAACCCTTTTTACTACAAGAAGGCGGTCTGCTTTTGAATAAACCTAATCTTTTATCTAACACAGTTTTTTGTACTATATAAGACGTTTCGACTGAAACTGTTCTTATTTTGGATTTCTACGTAACTTTTTAAGTACGGGTCTGGTTGTTAAGGTTTTAACTAATGCCTATTTTTTATTCTGCACAGCCTGTCTCCATCATAGTGAATCATGGACAGTTTCCGACTAGCTATTCTGATTCATTGCCAATACAAATGCAAATTGTCTACCGCTGTATGACCACTTATTATTCAATTGCTGTCATCTTTTCTTTTCGTCATAAATGAGTTGATTGAAATCTTATTGTCAACGTGTTTGCCGTTTTAAAACAAATAAAATTAATGATACGACATCCCGTATAACGCTTCCGTTAGCATATCTCGAAGAATACATTATATCTAAAAAAAACGTTATAAAAAATATTTCCGAAAACGAATATTGAATTAGGAACACGATGCACCAATCGGGTGCGTTCGTTTACGTTGCGCGTCATAGCATATGCGCCGGAGTCGCGTACACATTGATGTGATCCCCTGTTTGTTTTTTAACTAACTTTTTATAGTTATTACTCGTCGTAGACTTTTATGAGCGTGGCTCGGTGACTGATGCACTTATGTATGTCTATTGGGACGCTTGGAAACAATAAAATCATGATGCTAACTACTACATTTTATCATGGGTACAAGGAAATGGGACATGTTCTTCTGGTTCGGTTCATATCACACGCTGGCGTAACATATTTTTTATATCGTCGAGTAGTTTTAATCGGTTTTTAGTGTAACAGTTACATGTGGCAGTCCATCTTTGTTCGTTTTAGTTGTCCATAGTAAATTTACGAAAGGGCCAAGACGCCAGATTTGAAAATGGCAATGGGTTGGCCGGTTGGAGGCCTTCCTTCCTACAAGTTAATTTATACTTGACTCTATTTAGCTAATCAACGACCCGATGCTTTACACGCAATTTCTTGAGTTTCTCCGATAATTACAATCCGGCTGGAATGACCAGTTTGGTTGGTCCTAAGCGATAATATCGACTAGGAAATGTTTTAACTATTTTCTCTGTACATCTAGGTTGAATCGTTCTATGCTAAGAATATTTAATAAATTATAGGTATGTAAATTATTTATGGATGTTTATTTACGCAATGTTTTTATTATTTTAACGTGAATAGTTAGGCCATTCCTAGACGATTGTCTGCTATTTTATAAATTCAAAAATACTTATACAAATAGAAGGGGTATTGTCTTCTCTATTATAGTCCCCATTTTGATTGTATACAGATCTCATAATAACTTCCCCTGTGTGCATTATTTAAATATTCTCGACATTTATCGGTTCCAAAACTCATTTAATTAAAACCGAACAAAGTCTTGCACAGATAAATAAAATACTTGAAAGGAGAAGCTCTTTGTCAACAGCTGTTTTTAGATACAACCATTATTCTTTGGTCCTTCGCTTCGTTACTTTTGTTACAGAAGGAAGAGATCTTGTTACATTGGTAATATGTATTTCTGGATGTAAGTGTGTTAGAGACGATATGGGAATGATGACTTCCCCGCCAGGACACGCAGTGTTTCCTTTGAGTGACGTCACGTCCGATAGAACATGAGTTTTATTCAAATTGTCTTTTTTTCTTTATTGTCACGTTTTTTGATGTGGTTAGGAGAATATTTCAAATGAATGGAAGTAGGAAATCAACTAGAGTGAGTTTAATTCGAGATTAAAATGCAAAACATAACTATTTCATTCTAAATGTAAGTCTAGTTTGAGAAATACACTAGTAATAAGAACATAGATTTGGCTGTTGATCAAACACATTATAAACATGTTACTAGCGACAGTTTTATACTCAGAACATTGCGATTTTCCTAATTCACCATGAAATAGCATGTCAAAGTCCTATAGACTAAACACCCAGACAATACGCACTATGATAAAAGCTGAACTCTAGTTCGACCTGAATAGGAAACTAGGATAGCTAGCTGGCGAAACGAGCTTGGGCGAAAACAATCATAATAAATACCGCCGGTCGTTCGCACTGCGCATGACCCACTCAGCGTTTTAATAACTAACTGGCATGAGTAAACAATGGGCAATGTGAAATGTAACCCAATTTACAATACATACAACTTCCTATCAGTTTCATGAGATAATTATTTTTGCCTTGTTTAGGCCGATTTTTGTAATTTTAATGTCCCAATTTCAGTAGAGACGTAGCGGGGATCATAACATAACATCACGCCATTTATCGCGAATGGATAGGCAGAGGTGTACATTATGCCACTGTACAATGTAACACCCACTTTTCACTACTTATGATATATATATATATATATATATATATTATATTATATTCTATACGAGTCCCATGTAATGAGCCTATTCATATTGCCATATACCGGGCACAATTCCAGACTCCATGCTACTACTGAGAATTTTTTAAAAACCCAGTAATACTTTGCCCGACTCGGGAATCGAACCCGAGACCCCTTGCTCGGCAGTCGCACTTGCGACCACTCGGCCAACGAGGTCTGTCAGTCTGGCTGTCAGGCAGCGGGGATCAGAACATCCTTTTTCTGAATTAGTGCCCTTCGGATTAGGATTCCAGATAGAGAACAAGACGTTGGTTCTGATGTTCTAAACAACGTTCTTTCCGTACCCATAATATTATATGTAGGTTCGTCAAGGAACTTGTAAACAACTTATTTAAGTGGATTTTAGCAGTTTAAACACCCAAATGCTAGGTAGTATGTAGGTACCTACAGCAGGTTTTAAC